GAAGCGCAGATTGTCATAGCAAAGTCAGAATGACCTCCTCTCCTAGGTTCACGAAACGGTCGTCCATAAAATGCATTGCTGTTCTGTTGTAAGTGATCTTAAAGATTCCTAAATGCATCTACTTCCGGAAGGCCAAATAAAGTGCTTTTGCTTTCTCCTAGAAACACACAGCGTCTCCCTGACATGCTGCTTCAACACTAACTGCGGTTACTGAAACCCCGCCTTCTTTCTTTGCGTGCACATTTGGGCGCATTATGCTAATATTCCCACATAGTGAGGTAGATATGTGGGGCGTGTTAGAACGAGCCATTTTAGGGGGGCGTGGCAGAGTCTTAACTTTGATAAAGAATATCTCTTTGGTTTTGAGACTTTAGTCTTTGCAACTTCAGGGATCTTATCTATGCACAATCAGCTTGTAACACTCCAAAGAGAAAGAAGAACTTGAAATCGCATCATATGACCCCTTTAAATTTGAAGAATCGATTAGTTTAGCCTGTTTTCAGATAATGAAGGGAACATTGTAGCACACCTCCCATCCAATAAATTGCAATATGCTTTGTGTTTTGTTACATTTGATTTGAACCAAAGTCTGTTTTTTTTTTTAAATTCAGCCCATTTTATTACAGTATTCAAACAATAAATGCCGTTTTTGCGCTGTTTAATGTGGAGTGACAGATCGCTGTGAACTGATCATCTCCTCTGCTTTAATAGCGGTTGCATCATGAAATAAACTTGAATGAACATCCGAAGATGTGTTACAAGAAAGAGTACAACTTACCGAAACCCGTATCTTGTCTCATGTAATCGTTCAATCAGTGTTTCAAACGCGGAAAGACGACAGTTGCTTGTAAACAATGTGTCACGTAATGTCACATTAGGGCCTTTCGCACCGCGGGAACCTTTTCATAGTACCAGAACTAATTGCGGAACTACCCACTTTTTGGCGTGTCCGCACCGCCGGAACTGGGAGCGATTTTAGTACCGGACTGCCTTTTTCGAGAACCAAATTAGCTCCTTCTCCGGAGCAGGGTCTAACCAGCACAACTGGTACTAATCGTGACGTAAGAAGACATTGATTGGCCAAACGCGTATAAAAACGCCCCCCCCCGCCATGATTTAAAACACTGTGTAAACATACTGTATACATTGTGTCAAGTTATTTCGCAAGTATGGAGAACAGCGATCGATGGACGGACGCTGAAGTGCAGGCACTTGTAGCAAATGTAGCACTGCCAGTTGTCATTGGAGATTCTTAGTCCTCCTTTCCGTTCTTTCAATCGCTTTACGTATACGTCGACTTTCCATGTCCATTATTGTGAAACCCGCGAGACACAACAAAACACAGCTCCGATCACAGCGTCCTCCAGCCTCCTCCAGCCTCCTGTTGTTAATGTTGTTCTTCTTTGTTTCCGTTGTTGAACGCCGCGCACAAATGACGTCGCTGTCGACCGGCTTACGTCACTTCTTAGTACACACTGTCTGTGCGAATGCAACCCTTTAAATGGTACTGGGAAATAGTTCGCGCAAAATCGTCCCAGTACTTTAGTACTGTACATTTAGTTCTGGAACTAAAGCGGTGCGAAATGCCCTATTTACCTCAGAAAAACACATTCGGGGACCATGAACTCAATAGTCAGCTAGAAAAATGAACTCTAGAGAGGAGCATTTTGCTAAATATATGCACCATATAACATTAATTATAATTTTTACTGTTCTACAATGTTTGAATAAATCTGTCACGTTTTTGTGACAGCAACCATTTAAATGTTTATATTTAAAAAAAAACGAATTGGAGTAGAAATATAAGTATGTAATTGTAACTTTATTATTATTATAAAAGCTTCATTGAGTGTTATTTAAGCGTTTGTTTGTAAAACAGTTTGTTTTAACCTTAGTAATGTAGTGCCAACTGACTCTCGTGTATATTTTACAGCATTAGTTAAGAGATTTTTTTTCCTTGAGAAAATTTGGCTTGTACTGTACTTGATATATATCCAAAATAATCGTTATCGAATCGATAGCTTGCGAGTCAGAAGCGAATCAAATTGTGGCATTTGTGTCAAAACCCAGGCCTATTGTTGCTGTTCCTGAAGACTATATGTATTTGTTATATTTATTCAGTTGTGTTTTAAACATACTGTCTGAAATTAATTGTTGAAGTCTGCCGGAATTAAATCTCCCTCTAACATCTGATCTGTTTGGTGAGGTATTTGCTTATACTTGATTTCAGTTTCATTCATTTATTGATGAGCACTATTACAGCGGTCGTCCCAGATCCAAATCCCTAAACGGTTACATTTTGATTGATTGATTAATTAACTTAAATTGAAAACTGAAAGAGGCAGTTGTTTCATATGTAATTTTATTTTTAGCGGCACATATAAGTATGAACATTAATGAACATGAACATGTTTAATACATTTAAAAATAAAAACCGAAAAGATGGGAAGGTCGAGGTACGCTGCTGCTCCACTCGCCTGGACTGGTTTTGAGAAACATCTCAGGACTTTTATTTTGGTCTGCCGGTGTGATGTCATAAGGCTGCGCCGCGCTCCTGCATTTGTTGTGATTCGACTGAAGAAAGGTTTGTGTTTTTATACACCGTAAACAGATTTGTAAATGTAAAATTGCTTAATCGTTATTGAATGTGACACTGTAATATTTTACCTAACATTAACCAACATTATTTTGTGCTTGTAAAGCGCATCTGGACAATAGAAACAGAAGACGTGCATCTCATTTCGCTCTCCCATCAGTTCAGTATAAACAAGAATTTGGTGACTGGTAAGCATTAAAATCAGATTTGCATCTGCACATCACCGTTCACTCCTGACAAGACCCGCCCACTGAGGCTCGAACTTCTGATTGACATGTGAACTGGCCAACCAGCGATAGCTGCTATCCCTAACTTGCTGTAAAACGTATCGCTATAGAGCGGTGGAACTATGACGTCACTTTGTAGGCTAAACCCCGGAAGCGAGTTAGCATTTTAGCACTTCCGGCTCCATCGTCCCAGAGTCAATGGGTTTTCTGAATGGGAGCTTGGTTAAATCCCTAAAGTAAGGTCCGTGGTTCACACAGGCTCAAGATACTTTCACGTCTTATTCTACGACATAAAACACACCAGTTACACCCCACTCGTGATTTTTTTTAAAAACTAACGTTTCTTTAAAAAGATGGTTGCTAACAAGGAGACGTCATCACGCCGAACAGTTTATCAATTTACAGTACTTTCCAATCGTAGTGTATAATTTATAGTACAATTAATTGTACAATAACCAATTAATAGTTCACCGCATTTTATATTGTTGTTCGACAATTTAGATTTTTTTTGCTTTGCCCCGAAATGCAACACAAGTCTTCGGATGGAAGATGCTCGTTTTATCGCTTGCTGATGCGGAGACTGGGTTCGCACCATGAGCTAAACTCGTATTACGATTACTCCATGTAAACACCACATTTACCGGCTTAGTCGCGGTGAAAGTGAAACTTTACCGATGCACCGTGCTTAAAGCCACGCTAAAATGAAATGTTTACAGCCACATGAAGCAGAAAGATTGAGTATTTTCTAGAAGCAAGGATAAAATAACATTTTGTGTACCCATCCTAACAAAACGATTGCTGAAAATGTGGTACTTTATTCACTAAAATAAGTTTAATCTTACCATATCCAAAAACTCGCTCACTCTGCTGTTATTTAATAGATTAAATGCTCTTGAATTTTATCGAATAGTACGTGGAGGCACGTTTTTAATTATAATATTCATATTAATCAAAGATTTATTCACTTTTAATGCACCTTACTTCGAAATGTACAGAAATACGTGCTATAGTTTTGCATTTATTCCAGTTTATATGAAAAGGTTCATGTAGCGTGGATTAAAATTCAGTAAATCCTTTTCACTGAACGTGTTAAAAATAAGTTTGAATAAGTTGTCGGGAGCGACTGTGGTGCTGTAGTTCGTTTATAGCCTAAGTTTAGCTTTTAAGTTCTGGTGCTCTTATTTTTGCTTCAAAATTCATCAAAGTATTATTTTGTGAAGATTGTCAGAACGTGTAAGTTTCGTGAACTATGATTGAACACAGAGCTTGTTTTTTGCGATAATCCAAAAGCCTATGGAAAAATCCCATTGGTTTTTTGTGGAGTGGCGTGCGATGCTAGCAGCCGATCCGCATACAGTGTGACGTCATAGTTCCCCCACTCTATAACACCGATTTTGCCATTTGACAAGTTAGGTTATTTGTTACCGAGCACTGTCAGTGTGAAGCAACAAATATAGATATTTAATGATAAGAGAAATCCTAGAGCGATTATATGAACGGTTTGGTCAGCATGGTCTGTGGCAGACCGCGTCAGGGCAACAATTCAATGAACAATAAATGCATAATAAGTGATTTAAGTTGTAGAGACAATATTGTCTTTTTTTTGCTCTATTTCGCTTAAGTAAATTGTTCCAAACAAAGCCATGTTGAGCGTCTCTGCAGGTGTTTCCTTACTGAATCAATTAGCGTTTTGAACAAATCGGGTGAGTCAATGATTCGCTGATTCATTCATTTTAAACAGTTTCTTCGTTCCTGAATGAATCAGTCGTTTTGAAAGAATCAATTGAATAAATGACTCAGTGACTCACTTATTAAGAGTGGCTTGCCGCCACCTATTGTAATTTTAGTTTCACATTTAAAAGCTTAATTCTTTTTTTCTGTCATTTAATATTTTTTTATATTTAAAACATTAATCTTATAACATTATTTATGCAATTTGCAAGTGTTAGAAATGGGGGGGGAAAAATGTATAGAACCTTTCATGTTTAATTAGGCCTATACTTGGACTTTTAAAAATAAATAAATAAATAATGTATCCCTTACCAGTGTGCTGACTACTGAACTAGGGAGCTGATTGAGACACCCCAGAGATCTAGATTGGGTTTATTTTACTTTGTTAATTATTCTGATCTTAAACACACAGATAAACTCAACTGAGACACACGTGACACACTGTTATAAAGATGGAGTTTATTAAAGAGGAGAGAGAAGACATGAAGATTGAAGAAACATTCAGAGTCAAACATGAAGATACTGAGGAACAAACAGGTTGGTTTCATTCTCAAAGCTGAACTCACTCATTTGATCCTTATTACAATGTTCAGCTCTACAGAAATGAGTGATATTTTTGAAGAATGTCATACAAGTGTCTTTATTAGAGCGGTTTTAGTTGATATGGAGCAGGTCAAGAACACAGGAGCGAGTCAAGATCACATGACCACAATAGATGTGTGACGCCAGGTTCACACATACCCCATCTGCAGTGCATATTTCTTTCTGCGCCCATGTTAACGGATTAGGCGCCGATCAGACAGAATGTGTTTTATGCAGTGAGAGGCGCCTTTCTTAATTGTTTTCTATTGGCAGTGAGCATTTTGCGCTGTTTTCGTGTTTTTCTAGGAGCACCCTGAGCGTCTGAAGTTGGAAAAAAAATCAACTCTGAGCGGAAAAGCACTGTACGTCATTTGCATTTTTTCCATTGTCCAATCGAATGAATGGAGAGTGCTGGCTGTCTCGGGTTACCCGGAGGTGTATTTTTTAAGTTTTTGCTAATTTAGCAGTTTACTTAACAGCAAACCTAAGATTTTAGAGCACTTGATTAGACTGACAGGACAGCTGATTCGGTGGTTGCCTAGCAACATGGGGAAAAAACGCAGCCAAATAATCATTTTTTTAAAAGTCAGCGTGTTGTTGAGCTCTCTTCCAATAGTGTCCGTGCTGTCAAGTCAATAATATTGCCAAATATTAAGTGTCTCCCAACTAAGCAAGATAAAGGCAATGGTGGCAAGAAACCCAAACTCTCCTCTGGCCAGATGAACCAACATGGTGTGGTTTAATTCCAGGCTGAACCAGATTGATGTCATTCAGAACAATTCATCCAGTTCCTTCCGCTTGCATATTGAATACATCACATGGTGAAGGAGTCGAAACTGGGCACAAAAGGGCTGTGCATTAGTATGATTCTCGTGGTCTTTGCTGATGATTTGTGCTGATGGCCGTCTAGTTGACGAGGTCTTCGCAGGGGATCTGGTTGGTTGTCATGATCTCCGTTGACAGATTTGAATTACATAAATGTGATAGTGTATTATGTGTAAGCCAAGTTAAAGAGATGGGTCTTTAATCTAGATTTAAACTGACAGAGTGTGTCTGCCTCCTGAACAATGTTAGGTAGGTTATTCCAGAGTTTGGGCGCTAAATAGAAAAAGTATCTGCCGCCTGCAGTTGATTTTGATATTCTAGGTATTATCAAATGGACGTGAAGGACTATAATGCGAGAAGAGCTCGCTCAAGTACTGATGAACTAAACCACATGTGTCGAACTTCAATCCCGCAGAGTGTAGCTCCAACCAGCAGAAGTTTCCAGTGAGTCTGAATATGTTTATTAGCTGCTTCAGGTGTGTTTAATTGGGGTTGGAGCTAAACTGTGGACAGGACAGTGGCCGTCCAGGAACTGAACTTGACAACAGTGAGCTAAACCATTTAGAGCTTTGTAAGAAATTAGCAGGATTTTAAAATGTATGTGATTATTACTAGGGAGCCAGTGCAGTGTTGACAGAACCAGGCTAATATGGTCATACTTCCTGGTTCTAGTGAAAACCCAGCTGGAGTTTGTTTATTAAGCGCACAAAGCAACCACCCAATAAAGCAGGGCTGGGTAACTTCGGTGATCTTGAGCAAGATCTAGTGATCTTGAAAACATTGATTAGCTTGTTCAGGTGTGTTTGGTTAGGGTTGGAGCTAAACTCTGCAGGACAGCGGCCCTCCAGGACCGAAGTTGCCCAGCCCTGCAATGAAGCATTACAGTAATCTGGCCTAGAGGTCATGAACACATGAATTAACTTTTCTGCATCTGATGTTGAGAACATATGTTGTAATGTAAATATATTTTAAAATGGAAAAATGCATTTTTACAAATGTTAGAGATGTGGATTTCAAAATAAAGATTTCTATCAAATAGCACACCCAGATTACTAACTGATGCCGAAGGCTTTACGAATCGGCTATCAAGTGTTAGACAGTGTTCTAGATCATTGGATGCATAGTTTTTTGGTCCAATATTTAAAACCTCTGTTTGTTTTCTTACAATTTAGTATGAGGAAATTACTCTCCATCCAATTTTATGTCAACTATGTATTCCGTTAGTCTTGTGAATTGGTAAATTTTGTCAAACCACAAATAAATATAGAGCTGAGTATCATCAGCCTTACAGTGAAAACTAACGCCTTGTTTTCTAATGATATCTCCCAATGGTAGCATGTACAGGGTGAAAAGGAACGGTCCTAATACTGAGCCTTGTGGTACTCCATACTGTACTTGTGATTTACATGATACCTCTTCATTCACTTATACGAATTGATGATGGTCAGATAAGTACAATTTGAACAATGCCAGTGCAATTCCACTGACACCAACATAATGTTCGAGTATATTGAAATGAATGGTGTGGTCGATAGGGTCAAGGCAGATTTTGCCGTGTAGAGTATATGTTCTGTATTCATGGTCTTTGTCATTTAATCTAAATTAGCTCCAAAATGCAACAATATTGTTTTAAAGGAAAACAGTTTGGGTTTAACAAGTATTTGTCTTTTTTAACTGTAGACCTGATGTCACTGAAAAAGGAGAGTCAAGAACTGAATGAAATGGAGGATCAGTATGAGGAACATCATGATTTCATAACTGGGGAAAAATCCATAAAGACTGAAAAGACGTCCTCACGAAAAAGACCCCAGAAGACCAAATCTAACACCTGCCATCAATGTGGAAAGTGTTTCAGTAATCATCGAAATCTTAAAGTCCACATGAGAATCCACACTGGAGAGAAACCCTACACATGCCAACAGTGTGGAAAGAGCTTCAATCAAACAGGGAACCTTAAAAGCCACATGAGAATTCACACAGGAGAGAGGCCTTTCACCTGCCTTCAATGTGAACAGAGTTTTAAACAAAAAAAAGCCCTTCTTTCCCACATGAGAATACACACCGGAGAGAAGCCATTCACATGTGATCAGTGTGGAAAGAGTTTCACACATAAAGACACCCTTAATTCCCACATGAGGATTCACTCAAGAGAGGATTGTTTAATATGTCAACAGTGTGGCAGACGTTTCGCTCATAAAGTAAGCTTCAAGACTCACATGAGAGTTCACACTGGAGAGGAGCCTTACGCATGCTCTCAGTGTGGAAAGCGTTTTAGACATAAACAGTCCCTTGATTCCCACATGAGAGTTCACACAGGAGAAAACCCTCACACCTGCAAACTGTGTGGGAAGAGCTTCTCACGAAAAGGATCTCTTAAGACTCACATGGACATTCATACTGGACAGAAGCCGTTTACATGTGCTCAGTGTGGAAAGAGTTTCAGACGTCAAGTGACTCTTAATTACCACACGAGAATTCACTCAAGAAAGACACCGTTTTAGATATCATGACCTAAAACGCCTTAACAAGCATGAATAAATCACTCTTAGTCTTTTTTTTTTACATTAAACAAGCCTTAAGACTCACACAAGACTGGCACATGGTCTGTGTCGCAAAGAGTTTTACAGAGGAAGGAAACCTTAATATCTTCATTGAGAGAAGCTGTTCATATGTGACCACTCTGAAAAGAGTTTCAGATATAAAATATCTCTTAATTAGCACGAGGATTCACTCGAGAGAACTGTTTTATGTGTCATCAGAAATGAGTTTCACATACAGAAAACACATTAAAGGAGTCATATGATGTTGCTAAAAAGAACATTATTTGATGTAATGAAATGTTTATGCGGTTTAAGGTTAAAAAACACATTATTTTCCACATACTGTACATTATTGTTTCTCCTCTATGCCCCGGCTTTCTGAAACGCGTAGATTTTTACAAAGCTCATCGTTCTGAAAAGCGAGGTGTGCTGTGATTGGCCGAATACCTCAAGCGTGTGACAGAAATGTTACACCCCTCACCATACTGTGCTGATGCCGTCTCCGGCCGGAGCGTCGAGACAGAAACATGAAAACCCATTACAAACGAGGCATTCGTTGCATCCAATGGAGACATAATTACTGATTATAATGACTTATACTGTCTTTTTACACGTTGCGTTGCATCGTGCCGCGTAAACATAAAACTGTCTGCATTTGTGATCGAAGAAATGACAAACAACAAGCACTACTCTACACTGCCCAAAACTCACGTTTGAATCGTCAGTGGCAAATCCTTTAAATATAAAAAACGTACTTACAGGCTGTGAGTCAGCATTAATTGTCAGCATAGACTGTATAGGGTCAGCATGCGCACTGAAGGGTAAACAGGGGGACTGAATTCACCGGAACACCGGCATTGTAAGCTACTCTCCCAGGAAACAAGGCCAAACAAAGTAGTTTTGCTTTCACAACGAATCACACGACGTCTTAACGACATGGCGGCGGCGGCAGCAACAATACTACAGCGAGAATAAAAGTTACGCCTTCTTTCTTTGCGTGAACATTTGGGCGGTGTTATGCAAATCTTCCCACACAGTGATGTAGATATGTGGGGGCGTGTTAGAACGAGCCGTTTTAGGGGGGCGTGGACGAGTCTTAACTTTTATAAAGAATATCTCTTTGGTTTTGAGACTTTAGTCTTTGCAACTTTAGGGATCTTATCTATTCACGAACAGCTTGTAACGCTCAAAAGAGAAAGGAAATCTTGAAATCACATCATATGACCCCTTTAAGAAACATGTAATAATTCACACCAGAGAGAAGTGTGCCATCACAAGCTAGACAGATTTTAAGAATAAAATGGGAACAAAAATAAAAATGTTATTGGCAAAAAAATAAATAAACATTGAGATCAGTTACAAGTACAAAGCCATTTACCAGAATCGTGCAGATTAATAACAAAACGTCTTACAATACACGTCTGAAAAGTAGAGATTCTTATCAAAAACTCCCCTCATTTGACTGATGGTGCTGAATTTATAATCATATAATTCTTCATAGTTTTATTTCTTTTAGCTTTTAATCAAGGAGAAGCTTGAAATTGAACATGCTCCTGTTCTACACTACAGAGCCATACTGAAGAGAAGCTGAAAATGTGTCTCTAGATTTGATTCCTGTTGCATATTTTTAAAATGTAATCACAACCCGACTAATCTGATTTTCTAAATGCTTAAACCCCAAACACACACACACACATTAGAACAGCATTACCATGCAAACTTAAGTAACTACAGTAAACACTAGAGATATCGTGTTCTATTAAAAATCTAGACACTTTCACTGATTTTGAGTTTTAAATGCTTATTTTTTATCGCCCTTCCTAAAAACAAAATGGTTCAAATGACCAAAATGATCTACTTAAAAACTTTTTATTATTACTTTTTTGCTGCAGTGAATGCGATTTCAGTGGCAAAGAGCAATCATTTCCTTCATCACCATATTTATCACGAGGCGCTGATGAGAACGTGTTCATTAACAGTAGGCATATTTTCCCTGTAGCCCCTGCAGAACCTGGCTGTACTCTGCAGAGTTAGTGTCCTCGTGCTGGTCCGGAGTCACCCACTTATCCAGACGCTCACACTGGTTCTGATCCAGGATTCCCATGCGGCTGTACTCTGACACCAGGTTTCGGTATCCTGCTTTGTAGTAGCCTCGGATACTTCATCGGACAAAACGTGGCACTGAGACTGAATGCTTTCACCTGAAATTACACACAAAGAATGTTGTTAAGTGCAGCAACATGACAGCTCATTTACTCTTAGACTATCAGTTGTGTCATGCACGCTTGTATTATCTCCTTTTTTGGTACGGGACCCAATATTGCCGAGTACATAGTGAATGTATGAAAAGTCCTCACCCCTCTGTCCTGCGTGGCAAAGTGCCAGGTATAAGGAGTCTGGTTGACGGGCACCCATTATTCACAATATCCTGTTACATTAAAATATTTCAAAGAACAAACAATGATCACTCTTAACAGTCAAAATTCATCTAAACACATACAGCCACCTAAACCAACAATTCTCTCCTCACACCAACTAGAATACCATTTTTTGAGCTTCGAAGCTTTGGAGGGAGGGGGGTGAACATATTCTTCTCTCTAATAAAGGCAGGAATCTCCGTGTGTGTCTGTCTGTCTTTTTGCATTTTTATTATGTTGAGAATAGGGTTGTGACGGTGAGGACATTTTCCACCGGTTAATCGACGCGTGACAACACCAATAATACCGGTATCACCGCGGGGGCTTAATTCTTTTTCGAATTAGCGGCAATTTGGCGTCAATTGCTTGAATGCAACAACAAAATACACCGTCAAACTCACTTTAGCCTATATATAAAATATATAACTTTTATTAACAAAACAAATTAAAATACACCATGCTATAGGCCAACTCAAACTTTTGCATCTGGTTTTGAAGCCAAATCATCCGCGATCGTCTTGTCTGTCAGCTCGACTGGATACATGAAATCTGATCTATGATGCGACTATCGTTCGGCACGCTGCATTGAGCAGCCACATTCACATTTTTAATTGTAGTGTCTGTTCTTTTACTGAACTCAATTATTTTTATTACTATAAAAAATCATAACGACGGTGGGGGTCGGTGCCGCGGTGGGTAAGTGACGTAACCAGTGTTGCGGCTTAACACCGGTATCACCGTCAGCACCGTCTATCACGGCAAGCCTAGTCGAGAACCATTCATCCAATCGACTTCACGCGGGGCAGGTGTGTTGCTGCGAACCCAGGGGAGTGTCGCATTTTGGTGCAATATGGACACGCGACACATTCAGACTTAATAAACTACAGAACAGCACGCGGGCAGGGCTTATATTCTCCAAGAACAGACACTGCACTAGTGATACAAAACACACAAGTCTGTTAAGAGCGATACTTTTAATATAGACAAATTATTATTAGGCTGGGCTACTGTACGTTTTTTTATGACTGCCGTATTAGCAAGTATTTTCCAAGCAAATTAAGTGCACGTTTTTATCAAGTGTAAAATTACTGATTAACATGGCGGATAAAAGCAGCTCGTTTTTTACACCAACAGTATACTATAGGCGTACTACTTACAGAACTTTTACAGATTTTTCAAACTTGATGTGCTGTTGTGGTAGGCCAGTTTCAAATCGCATATTTGGCACACTGCCTTTGTCTTGTCCTCACTCAATTTAAAGTGCTCCCACAGAGCTGAGGTCTTCGGCACTTTTGTCTTCTCTTCCAGATGAACTGAATCATGATGTTCATGACGTTCACTCATGGGCGATTCATATTCAAGCGCGAATGAGAACCGTTTCGTGGGGAATGCCAGGTGTTCGGGGGGAAAAAAAAGAATGTTCGAATCTCAAAATTGAAAATCGAATGCCAACCCCCCGAACGAATATTCTGGTCCAGCCCTAACAACAACACAATGTGACACCAGGGCTTTTAAGGTGTGCCTGGGATCAAATGCACCAATCAAGATGGGCCAGTCATTAGCCTGCAGGAGCCAATCAGCACTGTATCTGGACACAAACACATACAAAACAAAGGGTTGTAACACCCAATCAGTGCCCAGTTATCTCGTGCATGGGGTAAACAGCAGGAGGTAGCAAGACATACCATATAGAGCTAACAACTATCCTCAAGCAATGTGGCAAGGCAGGGACAATCTTTAAGAGGCCATACTGATGAAAGTGGGAATCTGTATCAGCTCCTGAACCTTAGGGCAGAAGAGGATGACCCCATTTTATTGAAATGGTTAACAGATCGCAAACATTGCATACACAAGCCCTAAATCACAGAATGAAATCCTGAGCATTATGGCCAATACTATAATCCGAGGAATTGCAAGTGAGATTAGGTCTCCAGCCCTTATTCGGTTTTCTATAATAGTTGATGGCACTTTTATTGTAAACTATTTCAAAGACATTGACTAAATTGACCAAAATATTATTCTTCAAAACCATTTATTTATTGCAAAGACTTTAGAAAACCCAAGACGTGTCACTCGTATAGTTTTGAATGGGGAATAATGCAACGCGCAATATGGCCGCTCTATCAAACAAAGCCCTGCCTTCTGAGCAAAAGAGCCAATCGCTAAAGTCAGCGCATCACTGCAGCTGCCGTTAGAATCCCGGTTGCTATAGAAACAGTCAGCGTTCAGAGACGTGCGCTCAGGACTGCATATGCGCACTGGCTGATCTAGCCTGAAAAATAAGCTTTTTTTAACGCTATTGGAGCATAAGGAACAATATTCATGAGGCAGTTGTTGTCAGATTTCATTGGTGATTTCAAATTTCAAATTTAATCGTAAGCTTGGTGAACAGTTTTGGAGAATTTTATGTTTCCCCATTCAAAGAGATAAGAGCTGCACTTGCACGCCCGAGAGGCATTTCAAAGATGGCTGTAGTAGTCCTTCGGCGTCTTTGCGAACAGATTTAGGTTTGTTTTTTTAACCACAATTCCGCCACTACCAGAGGGAAAACATGGAAGATCTTCTGATTTGATTTAGTTTATTGGAATCGTACATACTTCTCCAGTAAAACACACAAAAAATTCTTAA